TCAAGTCATTTTAATAATTGGTGTTTGTGGAGCTTTGAGAAGAGATGAGCTACTAAAGATAACGATCGATGATATAGAAGACAAAGATTCAATTATTATTATAAGAATTCCCGATTCCGAAACTCATACTCCGAGATGTTTTGTGATTTCAAGTCCAGACCAAATAAAGATATACCTGTACCTCAGGGAAAAATGTGATAACCAAGTGGTTGGCATCAACAAAATAAGAAATGTGCTAAAGGAAATAGCAACTTATTTCAATTTTCCTCATCCGGAAAGTTATACAAGGGACTGCTTTCGACGTTCTTCCGACACTCTGCTAGCCGACGCAGGGGCCGATATTACCACCATTACCGACATGGGGGGAGGCGTTCTAGTACTGTAGCGGAGATATACAGGGCTGGAAAATCCACATGGTCCATCTGCCTTTACATGAGAGCGACAAAGTAAAGTAAAGAAATCCGTGCGATAGACAAGGATGGCTATAGTAAAGACGTTTCATAATCTGAATAATCACCGCCCGTTTCGGGTTAGAAGTGGGAGTGACTATTCAGATTATGAAACATCTTCAATGTAACCATCCTTGTTTATCGCACGGATTTCTATGACTTACTTTATCGCACTCACGTAACGGCCGATGTACCATGGGGACTTTCCGAACCTGTATATGTATAGAAGATTCTATACAAAATCAATTTCAATCGCAAATAAATTGTTACCGTCTTCAGCATACCCTGCGGAACTTGCCAATAATACAACGTGCGCAGAAGTTGATATCCAACGAAAGAAAAAAGCTGCAACTCAAAGGAAGTTTGATTTTATATTTCCCTTGTTATATTTTTTCAGCTAACCCCCTCGTTAGTCGTAGTTTCGCGTACATGTAGTGGTCTTCCCAAGAGAGAATCAGTCACTGCATTGTTACCTTGTTTTATTTGCTTTCTGAATACAAAACGGATTTCAAAGTTGCCGAGAGCCTCGCGCCACTCTTAAATTGGCTGGGGTGCATTTTATACTATCCTAGCGTTCTTACGTTCCAAAGAGCTTTATTTACATTTATTTAGTGATGCTGTATGAGCTCTTTACTTTTTTGCATTCCCAAGCAGAAAGATAACTCCGGTACAGTGACGGATTTGGTAAAAGTTGTCAAATAAATAAGCAGACTTTGTCCAACCATCATCTTCAAAATTTTGTGTACAGAAATGATTTTAAAAGCTTCCCATAGGATCTGTTTTTCTGTTATTTTTATACAACTGTATATATCATAAAAGTCTACTTAACGTCTTCAAAATCGTGAAAAATACTGATAATACGAGTTAAGAGAAAAATGTGCATAAAAATCGTATTCGCACATAAACAATTGCAAAAGTTATATACAAATAAAAATTAAAGAAGGAGGTTCGGTTATTTTCAATTAACTCGAAAAGTATAAGCAATAGCGTCAATTTGAAAACAGATCCTAAAAGAAGAGGATATTTGCTATAAAAATGTCCCAACTCCCGAATCTCTATCGTCATTATTTATAATTTTAATTTAAGTTGAATATTTTTTAGCGTCCAAAGCGTACAGCGTCGCGAAACCGACCTTAAGACATAAAAAAAATGTTAATATAAAAATGTTAAAATATTATCGTATTATTTAGACAATTAGTTTTTTTTAAACAAATAGAACTATTGTTAATTAACTAAAAATTTTTGTTCACGTAAACATTCAGAGTCGAATACATAATTGTTTAAAAAAAAGGTACTAAAATTATTTCGCTTTGTGGAGACCTTTTGAGAACTATACTTAACGAGATCACTTTTTTGCTATATCTGAAATAGTGATCTCAATATTTTTTTCCTTACGTTAACAAAAAATTTAGAATTATTAAAGTGGTCGAAATAATTTTTTAAAGGAAAATAATGTCACTATTTTTATATTAGAATAGTATATTATTCAACGAGCGTATAATGATGGGTATTATTCACGAGGTGAAGTTTACGGCCACGAGCCGCAGGCGAGTGGCCTAAATCACCGAGTGAATAATACCCATTATACGGGAGTAGAATACTATACTTTATCCACGACTACTAAATATTTTTGTTGAAGTTTTTTTTGAAATGTTTCGAAAAACATGGTATGTTAAGAAACAGATATACGACTCGCACAAATGAAGTCGCTGATGGCTCAGTGTAGATGCTCTTTCCCTTCCAACCGCGGGTCCCGGGTTCGAATCCGGTCTAGGAAAATTCACTTTTTTAATTTTTTTTTTATATGTACAGCACTGAATTGAAAATATTTAGTGGTTTACACGATAAAATTTTAAAAACGGATTGTTTGTAGCAGAACAATATAATATTATAGCTAAATCAAGGAAGCATCTGACAGTAGTGATTAATGACTCATTAATCACTGCCGTGATTAATGGGTATTAATAAGGTCGAGCAAACAGACGTATAATGGGTACATTATACAATAGTCGTGGATAAAGTGACATTAAAAAACATTAGCTAAACATTTTTCAATACCTACATTTATTATAAACAAATGCAATAATTACATATTTTCAAATTCTTTTTTGCACTTCATTCTTTATAATACAGGGTGTGCCGAAATTAATGCAACAAAATTTAGTCATTCTTAAGACAAATTTAGGGGACCCGTATTTTTTATTTTTGACAAGTGGCCCCTCTTTTGAAGTTGCAGCCCCCTGAAATCTGCCCCTAAGATTTTTTTTTATATCTCAGATCCCTGTTGTACGAGAATCACTAAATTTGGTACACAGGGGTTTTATGACATGTGGAACCTGATAGTGCTACGCTTTTAGGCGGGAAACCCCCTCAAGGCACTTTTGTACCAAATTTAGTGATTCTCGTAAAACAGGGTTCTGAGATAAACAAAAATGACTATTCTTAGGGGCGGACTTCAGGGGGCTGTAACTCCGAAAGAGGGGAACACTTGGCAAAAATAAAAAATAATTTGTCTTAAGAATCTGTGACCAATTTTATTGCATTAATTTCAGGACACCCTGTATATTATGATTAAAAAGAAGAATTTTTTCTCAAAAATATCGTTTAATTATTTATAATCGTTTTTTTATTTTATGGTTGTTTAAACAATAAATTGACAATTATTTTCTTTCTCTAAATTTATAATTTGCAATTCTCCATAAGGTTACAGAAAAAAAGTTTTTTCGTTGAAAATTTATTTGTTTATTTACTTAACAATTTAAACAAAATTTAAAATAATAAAACCAACCATGTATAATTTTTTGTGAATAATTTTTTCCGATTTTTATAGAATTTTTTAGAACGGCTATGCGATTTGTTTACGTATAAACAGCTATAACTTTTAAATATAACATTAGGTACCTAATTGTTCTTTCAAATGAGCTTTCGACCAAGTTTGTAGCTATTGTAAATGATTAGTTACATGATTTTTTTTTATAAAAAATGAATCTTTGCTTACTATTTGATTGTTTATAACTCATAAACTACTGAAGTTACAAATATGAACCTTCAAGTTTTTATTAAGCAGTAAAAACCTATACAATAAATATTTGACTCAACCGAATACTTGAATTGTTTAAACAACATAGGATTTTTTATTAAAAAGCATGCAAATTTAATTGAATTTTTTAATTTTTTTATACAGAAAGACAACCTCTTATTTGGTTATGTTCGCCGAACCTGGCGCCGTAGGAAGGTGCCTTAATACATGCCCTTCTCTTTTTTATAGTTTTGTTTTAGTTTGGAGAACCATGATTCATAAATTAGAAGATAAAGAATATTATAAAGAGATATCGAAATCAAATATTTGAAAATCGATTTCGTAAATAACAATTTTTCAAGTAAATCTCTTCTCGTTCATCCGGCAGCCGAAATAGTCATTCCAACCAGAATCAGACGTTTCGCCCGTTCGCTCACGTAGAAATATAATTCTGCGGAATTGGTTCGGACAAGCAGAGCATGATTAAACAATGGACGAGTTAACTGTACGGCAAAATTGCTTTTCCCGGAACATGAGAACCTAACGCTAGTCGGTGTAGCAGACAATTACTGCGTATTATGCGGATATCAATCAAAAAAGTTACGGAGGGCTCTCAATCGGCCAGAGGTATTCATTGTGTTGCCGACACTTTTAGAATGTTACAAGTACATGCACCACCTATGGAATAAATATAAACGAACTTGCGTTGCATGAAGCACCCACACGTACAGTGTTAAGTGGACCGACTGTTACCATAGAAAATATAGCGTTAGTATTATATTTTCTATGCTGTTACGTGTATTCCATTCTGTATACATATGCTTCGAGTAGCAACGGCTGGTGCGCGGTTGGGCTCAGGAATTTTTCATAGTAAAAAAATGTAACTTAGGATCTAATTTATAATGTTATCTGTGGATATCAATCTTTTATTAATAGGTACACTCGACCTCAAAGTAAAACCTGCTTAGACCATTTTTTTATAAAATCTTTGTCAATTAGCAACGAAGATATAAAATCATATGTATTTAACTATGATATAACCGATCATTTACCTATAGCCATTTCAATTTTTTTAAGTAAATCAAGAATAGACGTTACGCATTACAAAAAATATATTAACTACCAAAACTTGAAATCTGAATTACGGAATGAAAAATGGGAAAGGCTTTATAATGAAAATAATAAAAATGCTATTACAGAAACATTTATTAACACTCTCAAATATTACATTAATAAAAACACTAAAGTGATTAAAATCTCTGGCAAACAAGTAAAACGTAAACCTTGGATTACTAGTGCTCTTATACAGTCTATAAGTATAAAAAATAAGTTATACAAACAACACCAAATAAACCAAAACGACAGAAATCTAGAAATTAGGTATAAAACATACAAAAATAAGCTAAATGCATTGATAACAAAAGCAAAAAAAGATTATATTAAAACACAAATTGAAAAAAATAAAAGCTCATCTAAATTGTTATGGGAGAGTATTAAAAGAATATGTAATAAATCTAAATCTGAAATAAAAATAAATGAAATTAAAATTAGTGGTGATAAAATAATAACAGATAAATATGAAATGTCAAATTTTTTCAATTCATATTACAGTAAACTGGGCGAGAATTATGCAAATAAAATTAAAAATGTAAGTACACATAAGATAAATGATATGTTGGAAAATACTATGTATTTACATTATACAGATTGTGATGAAGTGAATTCAATTATTAATCAGTTAAAATCGAAGAAATCTCCAGGCCATGATGAAATTTGTGCTGAAACATTAAAAGGGATTGCAGATGAAATAGTTGTTCCGTTAACTTTCATAATAAACAAATGTTTTGAAGATGGTTATTTTCCAGACATATTAAAAATTGGGGTAATCAAGCCTTTATATAAGAGTGGAGATAAAATGGAAGTTGTTAATTATAGACCTGTTTCTTTAATATCTAATGTGGCAAAAATTTTAGAAAAAATAATAAAAAAAAGAATTGTTAAATTTTTAGAAAAATATAAACTAATATCAGATCGGCAGTATGGCTTTAGGGAAGGAAGGTCAACGGAGGATGCCATTTACAAATTGACATCATATATATATAATGCTATCGATAAGAAAAATCCTGCACTGTGCATCTTCGTTGATCTCTCTAAAGCATTCGATACAGTCAGCCACAAAATACTTCTTGAAAAACTAAAATATTATGGAATTAGAGGAAATGTACATAATTTAATAAAAAGCTACCTATGCAACCGAAAACAACAAGTAAATATTGGTGGGGTAAGAAGTAATCTAGAAACCGTTACCTATGGGGTTCCACAGGGAACGGTTTTGGGTCCTCTATTATTCACAATCTACATAAACGATTTACTTACCCTTAACGTAAATGGTTCCATTCTAAGTTTTGCTGATGATACTGCTGTGTGGTATGAATCAGAATCTTGGTCAGACCTAAAAATAAAAGCAGAAAAAGATTTCAGAAATATAAAAGCTTGGTTTGAGCAAAATAAACTTACCTTAAATGTAGAAAAAACCAAATTTCTTCCATTTACGTCCTATGCAGCACGTTTACCTCATATGGGTCCACTAATTATTGATCAGAATACAAATATACCTGAAGAAGAGTCTATAAAATATCTGGGTGTAATTATAGACAGACATGCACGGTGGAACCTACAAATAGCAAATATTGTAAAAAAAATCCGAGGATTATTACCTCGACTCAAATATTTAAGAGACTTCTTAGATACGTACCACTTAAAAATATTATATTATGCCTTAGTACAGTCACACTTGAATTATGGTATAATTGGTTGGGGTGGAGTATCTGATAGCCACCTACAAAATTTAAATATTATTCAAAAATGGATAATTAAATTGATATATAAAAAAACCATTACTTACCCTAGCGACCAGTTATTCAGAGAAAGCGGTTTAATGGATGTACGTCAATTATTTTGTTATAATATTTTAATAAAAAACTATAAAAAAAAATATTTAATTCCGCAATCGATAAATCACCCATATAGTACTAGAAACAGAGACAATTATGTTAATCCAAGGTCTGTAAAAACAATAGGACAAAGAAATTTTAACTATCTGGCTTCAAGGTTGTATAATATTTTACCAAATAATCTTAAAAATATAAATGTATATAGCTCTTTTAAGCATAAAGTAAAGCTATGGATTCATGAAAGAGGCAGAGAAATATTTCATAACATCATAAGTCAAAAAAATTAAGTTTAGTGTTTTATAGATATTTAAGTGTTGTAAAGAAGTGTTTTATATTATCTGTTGATAAATATATGTAGAAGTGTATTGTTCACTGTATAGTCACGCACAAGCGGTAGTAGCCGCTTCAGTGACTTACTAGTTTATTTACATAAGTTCTGTTATATCATTGTTTTGTAATTTTGATTTGTTTTATTCATGTTTTATACATGTTGTGATTTTATGTTGTAATGTATTTTGTTCTAAGTTTGTCATATACTTTTGTAAATAAACTTATTATTATTATTATTATTATTATTATTATCTACATAATTAAATAGAATAGCCTTATGAAACACATTAAAAAGGAAATGTTAAATTTGTAACGTGCAGTCAATTTAACTCGACTTGCAAAATTCATTTGAAAAACACTGAATATGTGGACTCCTCGTAGCTTGCTTCTAAATCTGGAAAGTGTTTACAGGGGTGGTCATGGTTACCGTCGCGCAGAAGTGAAGACGAAGTGGGAGTAGCGCATATTTACTATGCGGTTTGGGTTCTGTTTAGTTCGCTTGTAATCAAATAATAGCTATTACTAACGTAATTTTTTACTTGTGGTGTAAGAATTTGTTACGTAGGTACTATTGTTTCTTGTAATTTTTAAAAAATTAAATTGTAAAGATCTAACAGCACTTGCAATGTTATCTATTGAAAAATCAATGGTGCGAGAAATATTAAACCTTAATAGAAAAAGTAATTGAAAAGTTTATTTCGGGCAAAAGCAGAAGAATGACTTACACTATAACAAATAATGTTGAGCACATTTTCCCTATATTTCAATAGTACTTGAATTAAAATTACTCAATTATATTTAATTTCTTTTTTCCTAAATTATTCTGTCCACCCTGGTATTTACATTATACTATTCTTGAATTCAGAGAATAAGACTTTAATTTCTATTTCTGAGAGCATTAATTTGACTGTAACAATTTGTTACACCTTCAAAATATTTAGTTATTTAATTCAATTATGACTATAAAATGAACTAGAATATATACGAGACTCGGCAAATTTTTTTTAAGCATAATGTTAAATGGTATTATTTGAAACTGGTTCTGTCTACAGTAAAATAACCTCATTTTGTTTGTTTTCTTTGAAATACATTGTGAAATATTATAGGAAATTAAAACTTTAAGTATTTGTTATGTAAAAAGTTCAATCTGCCTTCATTTTCGGTTAGTCTTTATTATCGTCATGTATGAAATGTCGTTGAAGTTAAGACAACTTTGTATTTTTTGTACATAGAAAATGCTACTCTACAGCTACATGTCACGTGTACAATATTTAGAATATAGAACAAAAATATATACAAAATACAAAAGTTTAGTTGTCTCCCTTTCCCGTGAAACTTACTATATTCATTCTTATTTAAACGTTTGTTCTTCAAAGTATTCTCTTTCATCTGCACTTTTCCCAATTGTTTTCACTGTATTGTTTCTTTCTCAATTCATTTTCGTTATAGCCCAAGTTACTTTTTTGATCACAGTTTTTTATTTCTGCATAACCTAGGTATTCGAATTCGAACTTTTTCAGTCATAAACTAGAATAAATACAAACTATCACCTTTTAAAACAGTTTTTGTGGAAATTATTAGATGGCATCATCAATTTTATTAACAAAAAACCTTACATTTAGGAAAAGAACAAAAAAATGCTTAGCCTTTAATGTTGTAACTGCAGAGTATCTAAAATTTCAGCGAGCGACAAAATCTGCGAAGCCTTTTTAGATTTAGTGCCGCACAGTTTTTCGCAGGAAAAGCGCCAATTGTGTCAAGTAATATTATTCAGTTAAATATTTATAAAATCATGAATATTTTAGACGACTATTTCTGTTCACTTATGTATTCACGAATACAAGTTATTCAAATGCTACCAAATTCTGCTAAATGCAACTGTAACACCCTGTAAACGTCTTAAGAACGGGAAAATGTTTCTCAAAGCAAAATAACATATTTGGTCATTCTGAGCTCTCAAAAAATAATATTCAGGTCTGCAGACGCATTTTAAATATTTATGAGGGGCAGAACAGCAGGTCTGGATTTACCATCGCAATTTTTTTATATTTACGATCCCACAGATTACACTTAATGAAATTCCAATGGGGAAATATCTGAGAACTCGCCTTCTAAATCATTTTTATTTTCATGCAAAAACGGAAACGTGTCATAACCAGGTACGGGAGACAGTAGCCATGATAACATTAAAAAGTCATCTAGAAATGTATAATAGGTATCAGTTACATTTTTCGCTCATATATCACATCCATTGAAGTTACATGCCATGGTTTTACAATAACATGTCAGTTCGGCCAGAATCTCTCTCAATGTCGGTCAGATACATAATGATAAATCCTAACTTTTACTTCCACACATAAAACTGTGCAGATCTACAGGGTGTCTCACGGTGACAGCCCATTAGAATTATTTCAGAGACTACTTCGATTTGAATTTTGAAAATTTGAGGTTTTCGGGCATGCCCTTCTCAACTAAAATAATGGCATCCACGTACCACTTCCGGTTATACCGGAAGTCGCCATCAACTTACTTATTTTAAATGGAACACCCTATATATTATTGCAATTTTGGATTTTTCGTGTTGTTTTAGGTGGACTTTTATGAAGTTTCCCTATTCCTAAAATTAACCGTTTTCGACTTATTTAATTAAAAAAAAAAAAATGGAGAGAAACAGTGACTAGCTTCAAACCATGTGTATTTTATAATAAGAAAGATAAAGCAACAATATTTATAGGGGGGATAGCTAGACCCCTAAAATTTCGATTCATACTTTCAAAGTGGCTTAATTGCATACAAGGTGCTAGAAATTTAATGCCGAGATTAGTTAACTTCAAACCTTCATAAGTCGGTTTCTTTTAATGGAACACCCTGTATGTTTATCTATATACTGATACACAATTTTATTCTCTTTCGAACGGTATCAGGGTTCCCTATACCTATCTCTTCTAGTTTTAAAGTTATCTACTATTTTTTGCGCGATCACCTAAAATCATGTAATTCCTTGCGAGGATAGCTGTGGAATTTTTAGCAAAACTTCAAAACAAACAACTAAACTGTCGATTTGTTGTTAGTTTCTTGCAGTGGCAGTTTAATTTAGTGTTTATAAAAAATGAAAAACAATACATATTCAAATGCTAATATTTTAAATTTATTATTCATTCATGGACGTTGCAATGGGATTATAAGCAGAACATGTACAGTTTTTAATGAGACATATCTAAATTTGCCACCAATGAGCAGAAAAAAGTTAAGAAGAATTTTAGCAAATCAACTAGAGCATCGTCGAATTTGTGCAGAAAGAATTTTACCAAAACCAATAACTTCAAATGAAGATAATGTAATAAATGTGCTAGCCTATTTTAATGAGCATCCAGAATCCTCAACTCGTGCCGCAGAGTATGATTTAGACATTTCACGAGCGTCCATTCACAGGATGCTAAGAACTAATGATATGCATCCCATCCATACAAATTTAAGCTACTTTCTGCTCTTCATCCGGATGACCCCGTGCAACGTATACAATTCTGTGAAACGATGTTAGTGCTATACCAAGAAGATCCACAATTTTTGCAACATATTATATAGACAGACGAGTCAAAATTTACGAGAGAAGGTATTTTTAATAGACATAATACTCATTTGTGGTCATCTGAAAATCCTCATGTTATCCGGGAAAGAAACTTTCAAAATAAATTTAACATAAATGCTTTTTGTCTAATTAAAGATAACCAAATTTCTTACCATATCTACGAAGAAAATTTAAATGCCGACATATATCTCAATATTTTGCAAATGGTTGTGGCAGATTTTCTAGATGATATACTTTTAAACCAACTAAGGAAGTGTTGGTATCAATTAGACGGGGCTCCGCCTCCCTGTCCCAATAAAATCGATCAACAGCTGACTGAAATGTTTGAAGATAGATGGATGAGACGCCTAGGAAAGTGGAATTGGCCAGTGAGGTCTCCCGACCTCACTCCATTGTATTTTTATGTTTGGGGAGTAACAAAGCAAAAAGTTTGGTAAAATTTAGGGACAAATCATGTCTTTAACAATTTTCTTAATTATTCGACGAGTCAGTATCCATATCGCTCTCGCTATTATTAATTGATATGATTAAAGGTTCAATGAGATCGTCCATAATTCCGTCAAGTGTTCCAATTTTTCTTCCTCCTTAATCACATGTTCTACACATTTTTTCCAGTTAATATTTGTAACATTATTAAGAGCCTCTGTTAGTAGTTCCCTTACGTCCTTCAATTTATATGTTTTATTTTTGCTTGACACTTCATTCTTCACCTGTGCCTAAATCAATTCTATAGGGTTTAATTCACAATGATATGGCGGTAATCGTAACACAACTTTATTTTCTTTTTTTGCCATTTCGTCAGTTATATACAAATTATATTTATCTTTATTTTGGCGAATTAAATATAATAATTGCGATCTCACCATACCTTCTTCAAATTCGATATTTTTTTATTGTAGCCATGCCTTCATATCAATTTTTCTTGTTGATGTTGTCGGAATAGCTTCTACTTTTCGACTATGGTATGATGCATTGTCCATTACAATAACATAATTATCTGGTATTTTTTTCAAAAATTCAGAAAACCACTTTTCAAATACATTTGCATTCATTTCCTCGTGATAATCCCCACTCTTTCTGCCTTCGAAAACCAATAACGAGTCTTCAACGAATCCTTCCTCTGAGCCAGCGTGTAAGATAATAAGACGCTTTCCTTTACCGGACGGTTTTTTAATCCCATAGACAGCCCTTCATTGAGTGCCTCACGTTTATTTTTAATATTAGTATCAACCCATACCCTTTCTTTTGTATGACCTTCATTTAACCATGTTTATCTAAATAATAAATAGGTCTACCTTCAGATCTAAACTTTTTAATTGATATCAAGTAGTCAAGTCTCCGTCTCACTATATCATCATGTTCTATCAACACACTTTTACGACTTCGTTTTTAAGTATCTGCAAAAAAAAATTAAATGTTTTTATTGCAATTATACTTGCTCCGAGATATGTCTTCAACCTTAGTTGAAATTAATTTGTTTTATAAATTTGTATAATGATGAACGGGACATCTGTGGCAAATACTGACGACATTTTATTTCGGTTAATATTTTGTCCAA